TCTAGTTTGAAGCCCTCCTGATGAACTTTTTCATGCAGTGGCCAAACACCTGCTTCCCGTTCTTTGTGAGGTGCAGCCCGTCATTTGCCAGTAGTCCGTCTTCCAGGAAGCTTAGCTTGTGGTCCCAGAATCCAAATCTCTCTCTACTACCATTGTAGCCAGTCATTCACTTAAAGGATTTTTCTTTCTCTAACAGTTCCTCTTGCATGTACTGGTAGGATTGAGGAGACGACTATCTGGCCCCTGGTGATTTGATATTCCTTCCTTCAAAATCCACTGTTACTTCATCAAAGCTTCTACTGGTGGTGTCATTAGTTCCCATGTGGAAGAGTAGGAAGGGGTATTTGTCAATGGGTTGTATGGGTTGTGTGAACTTGCTGGTTATATCTTTAACCTTGCGCCAGGGAGACAGCATACTTGGCGATGCTCTGGGTTGTCGCGACATACATATTTTTCCATTTCAAGAGTCTCTCACAACTATCACTCTTCTCGTTTTGTTGTTGCAAGCTTGGTTGTCCTTTTCCTTTCTTGATTGGTTTTTTGTCTCTTTTTGAGAGTTACACAGTGTGCCATGTAATTCTTTCACAGTGGGTTCCTCACTCATCTGTTCCTCAAGTAACTGAAAGCGGTTCGAGAGTTCCTCTGCCTCCACGGGTGCAGAGCGTCTTCTAGGTCTTCTGCGCTGAACTGCCACCCAGTTCCGGCGAGTTTCCTCATTTCCCTTCCCGCAGGGTTCTCTTCTGCTGCCTCAGCTTGCGGACGCTGCTCTTGCTTCTGGGCTACACTCACCTGTTGCAGCTCCTCCGCTCTGTCTAGGAACTCTTGATGATGCTGATGCTGATGAATTACTATCATCATCATCACCATCATCATCATCATCTGAGGGTGGACACTCGCTGCTGCAGCGCTCTCACCTGTTCTTCGAAGAGGGCTGCTAGCTTGCAACTGCTGCAGGCGTAGGACATGCTGCTCTCAGGGCGGAAAGCAACCAGTGCGCGGTCGCTGCAGGCCAGCACCCCTGTGCAGGCTCCTGGGGCCACTGCTCGCGCAGCCCTGGTGCTTCTGTCCTGGGGCCACTGCTGCGGCACCTGGTGCTCTCTTCTGTCCTCACTAAAGGTTAGCCACGCAGCCTTACTGGTAAACAGGAGTGCGTTATAAGGAGGAAGAAAGTGTGTGTAGGGGCAAGATTGAGGTGAAATGAGAAAAGAACAGGGGGGGGAATGTTAGGGACCTCCCCCCGCCAAACTCCACCATCAAACTCCTCTGCTAACCTCCTGTTTGCTCTCCCTTTTCACTCGCTTTGATTGCTCACTTGCTGGGAGCCTGGCTGCCTGCATCCCAGAGGCCCTGGACCAGGTGCGGCAGCTTTCCCTGGCCTGCTCAGAGTCAGGAACCAGAACGACTACATCAGACCGTCAGTGCAGAGGGGAGGCACCTAGGTTGGCTTTCCAGCAGGTGCTGTTTAGGAATGGTGGCTTGTAAATTACGTGTAGCAATTCAGGTGCCGCAGGGCAATATGCTACTGGCAGAGTAAACCTCGGTTACAGGAGAAGGAGTGAATGTTGCCTTATAGCAGTCTCTCCTTCTGGTCATCCTGCCCACCAGGGTAACTTAGAGAGCAGCCTGAGCCACCCACAATCCCTTTCCCTGCTCCTTGGTCATGCCAGGTTGGCCCGTAATAAAATGGTGATCATTCATGAACTGCCTAGAGATGAGGGGGCCAACCTGGCCTGTCCCACAGAGACCTGGCTGGGAGAAGACAGTGACCCATATGGGCACGGAGCCTCCTGTCTGGCTGTTGTGTGGAGCTGCAGGTAATGAGCTAACCCTCATTGCCTTGCAGAATCTCTGGCTGAACTCACAGAGCTAGTCTCAGAACTGGTGTTGGACTCTCCTGGACGGTTAATCCTGGGGGATTTCAGTGTTGCTTTCAATTCCAGTTTTTCTGGTGCTGTCCATGGATTCATGTTGACCATGGCAGCCATGGGCCTGTCCCAGTTGGTCTCTGGGGCATATTGCTGGCTGCATACTTGATGCTATATTCAGCTGTGAACACTTGGTGATGAAGATGTAGGTTTCTGCACCCTCAGTCTTCAGGTTCAGCTTGGTCAGATCATACCTGATGAAGGCTAAGATCACAGCCCCTGTAGAAATGATGGACCTATGAGAATGGTCTACCCCTGAAGACTTATGGATCCAGTAGGTTTCCATTCAGCCCTGAAGGGTTCTTTGGCCAGCTCTGCTAGTGATCCTGTTGTTTCCCTAGTCATAAAATGGAATCAGGAGTTGACTAGGGCCTTAGACACAGTTGCTCCTGAGACTTGTCTTCATCCTGCTTTCAAAAGAGCTCCCTGGTATACAGATGTATGAAGCAGGAGGAGCAATGACTGGAGCACCGATGGCAGAAATCTAGACTCGTCTACAACAAAACACTTTATAGAGAGCATTTTTGCTCCTATGGAGTGGTGATATGGGCAACAAAGGAGGGTTCCTTCTCTGCTTGTATTGCATCGTCCAGCAGAGCTGCTTAGGATGGTAAGGGATTTGTCTCAAGCCCGAATACCCCCTAACCTGTCTTGCTCACTGTGATGCTTTTAACAACCGTTTTGCTGATAAAATTTCTCAGTTAAAAGACAAGCTTGATGCAATTGTGGATGCAGACACAGGTGTCCAAAAACTCTGTAAATTGAGTTGTCCTGGATTGATTTCAATTTGTAAGTCCTGGTGATATTGACAAACTGCTTGAATTGGTGAGGAAAACTACCTGCCCTCTCGATCTGTGTCCCTCTTGGTTGGTAGTCCAAGGGGGCAGAAGCATTGAGGGAGCTTTTATGCTTTATCCTCAATGTCTCCTTCAGAGAGGATGGGGGTCATGCCTGACCCCCCAGGGGGTTCAAGTTAGTCAAGAAAACTTGAACCCCCTGAACCTTAACAATTTTAGACCAGTCTCAAACATACCATTTCTTTGTAAGGTAATTGAAAAAGTGGTCTCTCTTCAGCTCCAGGCAGCCCTGAGTGATACTGAAAGCCATTTCAGACTGGGACATAGAGTTGAGACTGCTTTGGTGACTCTAGTGGATCATCTACTACTCAGAATTGATAGTGGGAGGGTGTCTCTGTTGGTTCTGCTGGATCTCTCAGGAACCTTCGGTACTATCAACCATAGTACCCTTCTGGATTGTCTGAGGTAGTTGGGAATTGGAGGTACTGCTTTGCAGTGGTTCCACTCCTACCGCTTGGGTCAGTTCCAGGTGATGATGCTTGGAGACTGTTGCTCCTCAGAAAAGGAGGTCCCAGGGCTTCTTTTTGTCTCCAGTGCTGTTTAATATCTATATGAAGCTGCTGGAAGAGATCATCCTGAGGAATGTTGCTGAATGTTTTCAGTATGCTGATGACACCCTGATCTACTTCCCCTCGCCATAGAAACCTAGAAACAGAGGGAGTCAGAAGGGGCCTCCCGGGCCATGTAGTCTGACCCCCAGCTCCAGCCGGGTCTGCTCATGACATGCCTACCATGTGCATGTCCATCTTCTGCTACTTCTAGAGGCAGCATCTCCTTTCTGAATGACCTCCTGAAGCTGATGATGAGCTGGATGAGAAAAAACAAATTGAAGTTGAATCCAGACAAAACAGAGGTGCTTGCTGTTAACAGTCCAAATCCAGGATTAGAGGTGTGTTAACCTGTTCTAGATGGGTTCATTCTCCCCCTGAAAGACCATTTTTGGGGATGCTGCTTTACCCAGCCCTTCAGATGGCAGCTCAGATAGAAGCCATGGTCAAGAGTGTCTGCTATCAGCTTTGGCTGATTGGCCAACTGCAACCATCCCTGGAGGGAATGACCTGAAAACAGTAATGCACATGCTGGCAACCTGTTGGCTCAAGGGTGTGCTCTACATCGGGCCTTCTCTGGAAACCACAACTAGTACAAAATAGGGCAGCCAGGCTGGTTGCAGGGACATCATGGGGAGACCAAATATTAATTTAAAGGTTTTGCACTGGTTGCCAATACGTTTCTGGAAACAGGACAAGGTGATGGCAATTACCTTTAAAGCCCTTCATGGCTTGAGACCTTCGGGAGTGCCTTTGCCTATACATTTCACCTTGCCATCAAGGTCCTTTGGGGATATTCTTCTGATGCCTGCTTCTGCAAGATTAATGTCAATTACCCAGAGAACTTTTTCAGTGGTTGCCTCTAAGCTGTGAGATGGTCTGCCAGAAGAGATACATCTGATTCCCCAAATTTCCACCTTTAAGAGGGAGTTAAAAATGTATCTCTTCTGACAGACCTTCCCAGATTAATTCTCATGTCAGTTTTATTTAATATGTTGTCTTACTCAGCATATTAAATATGTTACTATGGTTGGTTTTAATTATTTGTAAACTGCTTTTGGGAATGGGGTGGTATATAAATATTAAGAAAGAGAGACAGACAGAAAATAAAACCCCATCAGAGCCGTCAGAATCCAGAAGAGTTGCGCCTCTGAAGTGGCAATGGTCCTCCTGGGGACTGAGGCTGGGCTCTTCGGTTATCTGAGCAGGGCTGCCTGCAGCCTCATCTTGCTTCCCCAGTACAGCCAGAACAAGAGGCACACCTGGAGGGGGCTGCATGAGGTATTTCTCTGACACGGTAGCTGTTCGGCTTACGGCAATGCAGGCCCTCCGCCAACCCCTTTCCCGTTGAAAGAGGACGACCTGGCAGGCCTGTGAGTGGCCGGAGCTGGTCCCTTCTTCTGAAGCAGTGGGGCTGCCTGAACAGCCCTTGCCCTGCTGTTGAGCCTGGGGCCAGAAGTCACCGGGGGCTGTCGCTCTTCGCTGAGGGCCACACTGCAGGCACCATTGCCTGCAGAGGAGGCCTGGCTCCGGCAGGCTCCCTGTTGGCGGTGTGGCAGGGGCATGGGTCCCAGGCAGGCCCCTAGGGGTTGCGGCATCGCTGTGCCCGCACCAGTGCTGGCCCGGCTCTGGGAGGACTGTCTGGCAGAGCTGCCGGTGTTGCCCCATCCATGCTGCTCCCCTCAGCTTGCCCACCCCTTCCTCTGCTGCAGCCAGTGCTTCATTGTGTGTGTTGTCCTGCTGCTTGTGATTCTCATTGTGTCCCCTTTTGTAGCCGTTTTTGCATGATGGATGCATTAAAGCTGTGCATGCGATTTGTGCCTGGACTGCTGCCATTCCTTCTGAAGCCCTCTCTGCCCCTCCCTCGGAGCCTCATTGCTCTGGCACGAACTAACAGCAATGCTGGACTTGGATGCTCTTGAGTTGTGGCTGTTTTGTCTGCATTCTCACCGAGCTCTGCAACCTTCTTTCAAGGCACATTGCTGTGGCTGCTGCTGCGATCCCTGGGCACAGAGCACTAAATGAGGATGCCTGTGGCCTTTCCACAAAGAGCTGGGCTCCTCCAAGGACTGAGTGTCAGAAAGAGGCCGGGAAATCAAGCCGAGCGGAGTCTGGAGTGACTTTGGGGCATCTCGGCCCTCTGCTTACTTAGCTGGGACCTGCCTGGTGCAACGCTGACTGCACTGGCTTGTTGCAGCCGGTAGGATGCCAGGATCCATGCCAGGTGGGGCAGCACACAGGTTGCCGAAATAGAGGCAAGCCTCCCCACACCATGCCTGGAACCCTCCTCACCCCAGTCCAGGGCCGGGTGCCTGGCGTGGGTCAGGCTCCAGCTCAGCTGAGTTCCCTGTTTCACAGGTCTAGCCTAGTTTTGGCAGCTGGTGCAGAATGTTCCTGCAGTGGACCAGGCATGGCCCACCCTCAGTCAAGCTCTGCCTCTCACTCCTTGGCCTGCACCAGCCACAGCCGGAGGTGGAGGAGGGGCGCGCAGGTGGCAGCGGCTGCTGCTGTGGCGGCTGCGTAGGGTTGCCTTGCGGAGGCCATCTTGCTCGACGCTCAGCTCCCCCGAGGCTGCATGTGCTTTTCGTCTTGCCCGAGTGCTGCATTTCTCGTGTTGCGATTACTTTTGTCTGTCCCTCTGTCCTCCCAAGATGATCACCGCAACTATGGCCCGAGGTGGGATGCAAATAAGACCACGGTTCCCGCCTGCCACCGCTGTCTCTGCCATGCCTCCAAGCACCATTCCTTTGGGTGGACAGCAAGTGCCTCAGGTATTTACTGGAGCTGACGCGTGTTGTGGCTGGGGGGTCAGCAGGAATTGCTCTGGGTCTCATCAACCGCCCCCTTGTCCAGGCAGGGGGTCATGGGGCAGACGCCTAGATGGGCATGCACTCTGAGCCACTCACGTGCTTGCCGCCACCACACACGTGTGCGAGTAGGCTGGGGACCTTAGGCAGGACCATAGATTTGCGCCAAAGGGCAAGAAGGCTGTCCAGGGGTCTCACATGAGTCCTGCTCGTGTGAGCTGCCTAGTCAGCTGCTACTGTGTGTATTTGAGTGGTGGAACGACCCTGCGGGACGTAGGATATTTTCTGAGGTACTAAAAAGGTTCAGCTCAGTGTGCTGCCTCTTCCATCCCACTTTTACATTAGATGCAACAGCTCTTTTCCTCTGCTCCCACCCCAGTTGCCCTCTGAGCGCATTGCTTCTGCCTACCAGCTCTGTCTAGTCTCTGTCAAATGTTTCCTATTTAGGGTTGCAAAGAGGAGGAACTCCTCCTCCTCCTCCTCTAGTTCCCCTAAAGGAAGGTTTGTGGGTATTCTCCTGGAACGTGTCTCCATCCTGCCAGCACTTGGCTTTTGCAGACCGTTCTATGCCTGTTCTGTCACAGGAGGGAAAACGTGGCAGGCCATCCAACATTCCCTGAGAGATTCAATAAATACAAAATAGAAGCTCCCATTACATTAAACTAATTTTAAAAGGCTTATTTCACTAATTTGATATAAGTTCACCATTGGTTGAAATGAATAGGCTATTCAAGTTAATCTTAAGTCTTCAGACATAATTAGTTTCAATTTTATCTGCATCTTTGAGTTTTTGAGAAAGAGAAGTTAAAGATGTAGGTACATCTACTAGAAGATTCAAATCCGATAATAAAGATGGAGTTTGCAGGAGCAGAACTGGTAACAGGACAAAAAGCTGAGATGAAATGTTTTAAGTTGAATCAACTGCTCAGAAGCACTTGTGAGAATGATCAGATGAATTTTATGTGTCACTTTTCAAAAGCAGCGTACAAGTAAACCGATCTAAAGTGGTGATATAATGAAATCTGACTCACCAGCATAGCACACACTGGAAAGAGAGGACATGGACCACAGCCAGCTCCCTGGATCAGCCTGGGGGCCAGTGGAATGGATGGGCAGAGGCACACGGACTCACGCCATGTCCTTCATAGTTGGTGCTCCATAGCTCCTACTGGCTCCTTCACAGGCAATTGTGCTTTTGGTCCAGCTTTTATGAGCTGAATGAAAATGTAGTTAGGTAACTTGCTCACTGTCAGGCCCCCAATTAGCAGATAGCCTAACACTTTTTGATCAGATGCTTTTGATTTTGAAACAGGAGTTGTTTTCCACCAACACCCAGCACTGAGAAATCTTGTTACAACTCAGTGGCTGAGCCCCTGAAGGTTTGCAGTCTGTGCATGGATCATGCTGGGTTTGCTGTTACGTCTTCCTGTCAAATGACTGGACAGGAGTGGCTGCTCCTCGTTCTTCTCCTTGAGTTGCCGCAACTGTTGAGACTGGAAAGTTGGTAAACTTTTTAGGCAAAGTGTGCTGGCTTTGAAGCACTTGGCAGTCCAATTTTACTTTGCACAAATTCAGCCTCAGGACTGTCGGTGAAGGCCATTGTCTTTTGTGACTGAGGAATACCTCTGTTTGGCAAGTAGGTTACATTCATTTCAGGTGAAGTGAGATACTAAAAAGGAAGCTGTGTCTCTGCTTGGAGACTTTCACCTCAGTTTCTCTTGAGGCAAAATGAATACAAGAACATAAAAAGCAGCTTGCTTTAAAGTCATCATCTGGCAGTTCTGTAAACCCAAAGTTAAGGCATAGCAAAACTAATGGTTGCTTAAGAGAAGAGATGAAAGATGTGATCTTTGGCTTCCTCCTTTGCTTTAAGTTCTTGTAGCAGCATTATGTTGCCAGTTGCATCCAACATTTTGCTGTGCTTTGGTATCGCCAGGACAGGCGATGGGTGATCAGGAAAAGCAAGGGCTGGGCTTGTTCGTAGTCTGTGAAAAAACTCTCAAAAAATTGGAAGTTTTGTCTTTCTGGATTTCCCATGCTGATCTCATTAGAACTGGCAAGTCTTGACCAAAACATGGCACTTCAGGATACATTGGGCTACTTTTCTGTGATCTGTCCCCAAATAATAGCTTTAAGATTAGTTGGCATTGCTCCATCTCATCCCATGCTCTTCCTCCATTCAGCACCACCTGGCTCTACTATCTGTGCACGGCTCAAGTCCTCCGCCGTCTCCCTCACCCTGACTCACATACTCGCTTGGAGTCCTCTCGAGGCAACTGGTGGTGTGCGCTTCTGCATGCCCTGTTGCAGGCTCTTAGGCAGATGTGGAATCAGCCTTTAAAGAAGTACTATACTTAACACAACTTTTTTTGACCTTGTTGAGCTCATCAGTTATCTGGTGGGTGTTTGCATCAGGCAACCCCAGTTGAGCTGGAGATACAAACATAGAAACAGAGCTAGTCAGAAGGGGTCTCCCAGGCCATCTAGTCTGACCTCTGGCACCAGCCGGCTCTGCTCATGACATGCCCACCATGTGCATGTCCAGCCTATCTTTGAACACCCGCACCAATGGGGCCTCAACGACCTCTCACGGAAGCCCATTCTACACCCTCGGGGTCCTGACTGTCAGGAAGTGCTTCCTGGCATCCAAATGGAACCTTGGCTCCCTGAGCTTGGCTCCATTGGAGCGTGTCCTGCCTTCCTCTGCAGGGGAGAACAGGTCTCTACCCATCTTCATGTGACACCCCCTCACATACCTGTATGTTGCCAACAAATCCCCTCTCGTCCAGGCTGAAGAGACCTGGTTCCCTCAGCCTCGCCTCATACCCCATCCCCTGCAAACCAGCCACCAACCTTGTGGCCCTACGCTGCACTGACTCTAACCTGGCTATATCTTTCCTGTAATGAGGGGCCCAAAACTGAGCACAATACTCCAGTTGCGGGCGCACCAGAGTTGTATAGAGTGGTAGTAATGCCTCTCTCGATCTAGAAGCCACACCTCTGGCTATGCAACCAAGGGTGGCGTTCGCCCTCTTGACCACCGCATCACACTGCTGGCTCATGCCTGCTGACAACCTGCTGTCCGAAAGCCAGACAAGTGTTCCGTGAGCATGGGTGTCATCTAGCACTTCATGTCCAATACTGCTGTTGGGCTTGCTTTCATTGGCTATATTCATAGTGGGGGAACTCAACTCTGGGAGCGGCTTGTCCAAGGCTAGGTTAGGTTAGGTTAGGACCAGTTGAGACTTGTACTCAAGGTCAGGGTGCCTCCCCTAAGTGGGGTCTCCATAGCAAAAGCATCTTCACAGCTCTCCCAGAGATCTGGCCTTTTTTTGGAGAGGCTTCTCTTGCCAATGATCATTCTTTCATTCCAGGTAAGCCAGAATAACCTCACCATGATGTCCTCTCCGTCACCCGTCCAACAAGCCCAGACGCCCCAGCCAATGCCTCCACCACCTCAGCCACAGCCTTCTCCCCAGCCAGGACAGTCCAATTCTCAGCCCAATTCCAATGTCAGGTGAGCCTTACGGTGGCAGCAAGGAGAGGCTGGCTGTGACGGCTATTTTTTCTGAGAGAGAGAAATAGCAGCCACACCTCCTTATGGGAAATGTGTCCTCCCTCCTATTTCAGTTCTGGTCCAGCTCCATCTCCCAGCAGCTTCCTCCCCAGCCCATCTCCACAACCCTCTCAGAGTCCAGCAGCTGCACGAACACCGCAGAACTTCAGTGTCCCTTCTCCAGGACCACTAAATACTCCAGGTAATCTGCAGAGGGCTTGAGTGAGCAGACCCAGGCCTGCCCCCCTTTTCTGTCCAAGGTGTAACCTAAATCTATGCTTATAATACATCTTAACATTACTGCATTTAATTGGCAGTAGTACAGTTCAGGAGCTTTGTGGGAATTGGGGATTTGTTTTAGCAAGGGGTCAATGAGAGGATGCTTTGCTTCTATGATGCAAGCTGGGTCAGCCCACTCACACAGCAGTGACGCGCTTGTCTCGGATTCTGAGCCACCAAAACCTCTTCAGGGAGTTGGGGGAGATGGAGGCAGGCAGCAGTGGCAGAAGATAAGCAGAGAAAAGCAGCATCCTCTATGCAGGGGAGCAGATTTATAGCCTCTTGAAGAAGCAGCCCTCTGACTTTTCCACATTCTGCTGTGTTACAGCATGAAGGTGAAATGAATTTAATTGGCATAGTTACCATACGATACACAGAAGATACTCAACACCATGAAGGTGCAAAGTATTTTCACTGTGGCACAAATTGTTAAGTAAACAAAACCAAAGTGGCACTTGCAACTAACAAGAACTCACTCCCTTTGCTGTAAGATGCCTAAATAAACTCTGAAGGAACACATTGCTTCCTGATTAACTATGCCTAATTCCAGATTAGATACACCTGTTTCTAGAAGGCTCCACAGTTTGTTGGAGAGCATATACAGAGGGTGCCAAAATGTATACACATTTTAAGAAAGGAAAAGACTGTATTAAAAACCATTCCATGGTGACACTAGCATTCATTTGATTAACGTCATCTTTTGCGCGAACACCATTACATTGCTACTGTAATTCAATTCAACTTCGAAAAGTAATACATAGATAACATCCCTTTAAAAGTGTGTACATTTTTGGCACCCCCCTGTATATACATAAATAGCATCATGAAGACCAAGGAGCTGCCAAAACAACTTCAGAGAAAAGTTGTGCAGAAGCACCAGTCAGGATTTGATTATAAAAAGAAATTCCAAACTTTGAACAAATCCAGTATTATGAAATGGAAAGAATGTGGTTCAGCCTGGAGAAGACATCCATCAAAGCTCAGTGACCCAGTGTGGCAGGTGTTGATCAGTGAAGTTGCTGGAGAGATCAATAGCTGTGATGGGAGATGCCATTATTTGACAACTGCCACCCACACCCCCCACTGTCAATCCAAAGCCATGATCCAAGTGAGAATCTGCAGCCAGACTTGAAAGTTGTTACTTAACGATCACCCCTGTCCAGCCAGATGGGGCTGGAGCGGTTGCCAGGAATGGGCAAGCCAGCCACATGTGCAGAGCTGCCTGAGTCTTACCCAAGAAGACGAGCAGTTGCAGTTGCTGTCAGAGGTGCTCTTTTACCAAGCATTGACTCAGAGGTGTGAATAATTCTGTGACCAAGAAGTGCTGGCTTGTTTTTGTTTACTGAACTTTGGTGTTTGTGGAAACAGCTTGCATCTTCATAGTGTTGTGTAGCCTCTTCACAGAAAGTAGTAGCAAGGCCAATTGAACGCATTTCAGTTGCGGGTTGTGACACCCAAATGAGGAAGAGTCAGAAGGTGGGGTGAATACTTCTGAGGGACACTTAAGGCGGTCTGTCTCGGGTGGGTGGCTTCCGTGTAGGTCTCCCCGCTCCTTGTGACTTAACGTGTAATCTTTCTGCCTCAAAGGCAATCCCAGCTCTGTCATGAGCCCAGCCAGCTCCAGCCAATCTGAGGAGCAGCAGTACTTGGAGAAACTCAAACAGCTGTCAAAATACATCGAGCCTTTGCGGAGGATGATCAACAAGATTGATAAGAATGAAGGTGTGTTGTTCCAGTGGTCTGTCTGCTTTGTTGCTTTGAGGGCAGGCAAAAAGCAATTGACTCTTCATCTGCCCTGTAGATGCACAGATGGGTTCAGGGTCCTTTTGATACAGGAAGCAAAGTTAGCTCTGCTGACAATAAGAAAAAATCAAGTAGACCTGGAATATACATGTAGAGGCTTTTTGGCTGTGTTATTATTTCTGGAGAATCCTGGGAATTCTGTTGTCAGTATGTGTGTTGAGAGTTGTCAGTATCCAGCCTTGAGGTCTTGTACCTTTGATATCTGTATGAAAAGGACATGCTCAGAGCAGCAGTTCCCAAACTTTTTCCATCATGGAACTTTTCTGAAGACATTTTTTTCCCGTGGAGCCCTAACTCTATCCCTGAGTTTTACTAAGCATGGTGAACCCACAGAGTTCTTCCTTCTTTGATCTGCTCCTATTGCCTGAGTGCCTTGCATAACATAGTACGTTTGTAAATAAAGAGAACACATTTTAAATATAACAAATGAATAAAGAGATTATATGTTAATATCCCAAATAAATTCTTTTGATTATTCCCAACACGATGCAACAGAGTCCTAGGAATCAAGTGGCATGATGCATTTCCTCATATGCTGCTTGGACACCAGCTGACAATTGAAAAGTTGGCCTCGTGTGATTTCATTTTAAAATCTGTTTGGAATTTGATTTTTGAGGTTTTCCATGGAACTCTAGGATTGTGCAGAGCAGTTTGGGATCCATTGGCTTAGAGACTTTCTTCTGGGTTTTGATCTGATCATCTAATTTAAGTATGCTACATTCTGCTAGCTACCATATTGCTTGCAGACAGCCCTTTTCATGTGCAGTGTTAACTAAACCCTATTTTATTCACTGCATGTTGCCCTGGAAGTAGAGAGAGAAACTGGGTGATAATTGATTGCTTCGGTCTATGCAGAAGTTTCATCCCGTACCAGAATTGCCATGCACACTCTGTTCTGGGTCTTGCACCCAGAAGGCAGTCCTGAGGGCCGCAGCAGCCTTCTTGCCCGTGGCAGAGGAAGAAGAGGAAGATGATGCCTGTCTGGCAGGCTGTGCAGGAAGTTTTCTTGGGCTACCTGCTGCTGCTGCTAGGTTCACAGGGCAGTGGCAAAGGCCATGCTGTGCCATGTGTTTCTGTACTGCTTTTGTGGACATTGCAATTTGAACTATAAAGCCCTTCCTGTAATTCCTCTGGGCAGAAGTCTGCTGTTCTCCCTCTTCCTGCCCCCTCTCTCTTGGTCACAGCCTTTAAAGAAACCCAAACTTTAATTTCAGCTGAATCTATACTATCGCTATTATGTATCCACCCAATCTATTGTTCCCACCAGTTTATTTTTGTGACTGCTGCACAATCTTGTCCAATCTGCTCTTATCCCTGACTAGTTTTATTGAGGAGTATTTGGTTGTAATCATGAAAAATAAATGGGTAGAAAGAATAAAGAGAAGACCACATAACCCTGATCTCATACGCCTCCTGGTGTCAAATGAAGTCTGGGCCTCAAAGAACACATTGTGTTGTGCTGTCTTGGCAATATTCTGTGTTGCCAATTTCTGTGTTGTTGGCCAGTTTGACTTCCCTAAAGAATGGGAAAACATGATGGATTTTTTCTAAATGAAGGGGAAATGAACATAAGTATGGTTTCTTTCTACACTGCAAGACTTGTTTCTTTTTCAGAAGACTCTTGCTTTTTAATTCAGACAGGAAGAAGGACCTGAGTAAGATGAAAAGCCTCCTTGACATTCTGACTGATCCTTCCAAACGGTAAATTGTTAGCTTATGCCCATTTCCTTCCCTCCACTCACCATCCCATGCTGTTTTCCTTCTCCTGAGTTTTCATAAGTGACACAAGAATGTGAACACTAGCCCAGTTCATTTGAAGTCTCTACAAGAAAACAGCCTGACTCCAGCATGCCTGGTTGGTGCCCAGAAGGGCCCTCTGTGGAAGGCTGCTTTCTCATTGGCTTGCTGCTGTGCCCCATGTTGTCCAGTTCCAAATAGGGGGAGCACCTGAGCCCTGCACAGCAGGGCCAGCTTCCAGGAGGTTGCTCTTCCTGGCCTTTCTTCAGACCACTGCACAGAGCAGCCTCCTCCAAGGGCTCCACTGAGCTGCCCGTTGCAGTGAGTTCATCAGTGCATTAGCAGCTAATACAGGCGGGTCTGTAACACTCACCTGGGGAGATGAGGGCCTGACTCTGTTTTCACCAGAAGCAGTAAATAAGCTGCTCTGAGACGCCTCTGATGCATTTCCCTCCTTCCCAGCTGCCCTCTGAAAACACTGCAGAAATGCGAGATTGCTCTGGAGAAGCTCAAGAACGACATGGCTGTGGTAAGCACCGTGTATATGGATTGCCAATGAGAGGTAGGAGAGCAGGCAACAGCCAGGGGGCCCAGGAGGACTTCTGGGGTTGGGGGCTAGAGATGGAGGCATGGTAATCACTGGCGAGACTCAAGGCCAGGCACAGCAAGTGAGCTGTGGAGCTGATTTCTCACCCATCACCCTGTCTTGGCTGAGGCGCAGGACTGCCTCATGAAATGCCAGGTCTTTTCACAGTAAACTCTGAACTTAGACGAATGAGAGAGACCAGTGTTCTAGGCCAGCATCTTTGACCTGGAAAGAACTGCATCATCTTTGTGTGTAAAAGGTGCATCTCCTGTGTACCAGCCCACCCCTCCACCCTCTGCAGTTCCTCCCACGAAGCAGCAGTATCTGTGCCAGCCACTTTTGGATGCTGTTCTCGCAAATATCCGTTCACCAGTCTTCAATCATTCCCTCTACCGGACCTTCATGCCAGCTATGACAGCCATTCATGGCCCACCTATCACGTAGGTATTGTTGCTTGGGCTCCTACCTCCCAAATGATGGCTTAGAGATTTCAGCCACTGGGAAAAAATCAAAATGTTCTACTCAGCTGTCCTTGTAGACTTTGTCAAACATTTTTACTTTTCCTAGAATCAGCTGCTTTTATAACTTTGTTAAGACAGGTGATAATTAATCACTTTTTGTTTGTGACATTTTAAAAAATGAATGGAATCTGAAGTTGATTGTGTGTGGATATTCCTCCACAGAGCCCCAATTACTTCCCATCGGAAGCGGAAATATGAAGACGATGAAAGGCAGACCATACCAAATGTATTACAAGGGGAGGTTGCAAGATTAAACCCTAAATTTTTGGTGAATCTGGACCCCTCCCATTGCAGCAACAATGGCACAGTTCACCTTATATGCAAGCTAGGTAAGCAGCAAGGAAGGCATCTCAACACCAGTAGACTAAAAGAATCACAACACAGCTGCAGCACAGATTGACCAGTGCTTGGTGGGAGTTCAAAATCTGTCTAAAAATTAAAAGGTTACAGTTGAGGATTCTGGTCAAGCTTTGATCATCCAGGTATCGGTCGCACAGAGAAATGAATGGAACTTTACTAGTAGCTCCACATTGAGCCTTTCAAGTTGTGTTTGCAAAACTTTTTCTAAGACATGCAAATTGTTTCATTTCAGAGGACAAAAACCTTCCAAACGTTCCACCACTGCAGCTCAGTGTCCCAGCTGATTATCCAGACCAGAGCCCCCTGTGGATCGATAACCCGCAGCAGTATGGTATGAAAGTATGGAGGAGAATGGCATTTGAGTGGGAGCGTGCAGTGTGCACATGATGTTTGGCAATTGCTCTGCAGTTACTTCATGAAGCTCCAAGTCCCTGCTCCCATCCGCTCTCCTGTATGTGGATTTCCTCTGTGTGAAAGAAGGAGACGCAGAAAACTTGGGATTTCAGGAGTTACAGCATAACAATTATGTGAGGCATAGGGAAGGGAATGAGAACACAATCTGAGGAGAGCAACCTGGTTCAGTGCCACCCTTCCCCAGCATTTCCAAGTTTTTACAAGAAAATAGGCCACTTTTAAGCTTTGAAAGCAAGATTTCCAGTTTAGGAAGTTCTTTTAATTGGAGCCTGAAAATGTGAGCATGTGCAGTTTTCCCAGAATGGTGGCCATGCAGTTTCCTAGTTTTTCTGACCGTAAGACAAGGAGCTCGTGTAAATTCCCAGGCACCAAAATCCTACCTTTGGCACCAGTGCGTAAGAGTTCTGTATTCCATATGTATGCTTCCAAGAAGGTAAAAAGAGATGCCAGGCTCAGTTTTCCTCTTCCTCCAAGATCTGCAGTCTCTTCCTGCTCAACTGAAAACTCCCAGCTTGATTGATAACTCACAACTTAAATGATGTGACACTGTCAGGCAAAGCTTTGAGGAAATTGGATTCAAAGCTTTAGGGAGGGAAGTCAAGAACTTTGAGGCCCAGTTGGTTTTCTCTTTCATCTTTCCAGTTCTTTGAAGAGGAACGTACTTGATAAACTGGAACACTGGGCTGAAACCAACAGAATGAAATTCAGTAAGGACAAGTGCCAAGTCCTTCACCTAGGAAAAAGAAACCAAAGTCTTCGGTACAAGATGGGGAATATGTGGCTCAACAGAACTGAACAAGAAAAAGATCTTGGAGTAATTGTGGACAATAGACTAAACACGAGCCAACAATGTGATGCTGCCACCAAAACGGCAAGTGCTCTTTTGGGATGCATTAAGAGAAGTATTACGAGAAGTAGTAGTTCCTCTATACTCCTCACTAGTCAGACCTCAGCTGGAATACTGTGTCCAGTCCTGGGCACCAAGATTTAAGAAAGATGCAGGTAAATTAGAAAGGGTCCAGCAGAGGGCAGCAAAAATGATCCAGGGTTTGGAAACACTGCCCTAGGAGAAGAGACTGAGGGAACTGGACATGTTCAGCCTTGAGAAGAGAAGACTGAGGGGGACCATGATATCCTTCCACAAGCACCTCAAAGGCTGTCACAAAGAGGAAGCCCAAGATCTCTTCTTCCTGATGCCAGAGCTTAGGACACGGAATAATCAAGTTGCAGCAACCCAGATTCAGGGTAGACATCAGGAAAAGCTTTCTCACTGTCAGAGCAATACAACAGTGGAACCAGCTGCCTAGAAAGGTGGTGGGCTCTCCCACACTGGAGACATTCAAAAAGAACCTGGAGAGCCATCTGAGTGGGATGGTGTAACATGTCCTGCAACAGCAGAGGGTTGGACTCAATGGCCTTCATGGCCCTTCCAACTCTTCTATGCTATGATTCTATGATAGGGAAAGAAAATACTCAAAGTGAATGCCTGGCTATGAAGGTGGTGCTGGTGCAAGTGATTTGGATTCTGGGACCACAGGCTACACTTCCTGGAAGATGGACTGCTGGCGAGAGATGGGTTGCACCTGACAAAGACTGGAAAGGTGCTTGGTCACAGCAGGAGATGACTGCTTGACTGGAATTCAACAATTGAAGGATATAACCTGTTCAAGAGCAGAAGGAACAGAAATGGAGGTGGAGTTGCACTATATGTTAAAGAGACATATCTCTGCATAGAGAGAGATATAGGAAGATGAGCTTAGTCGACACATCAAGAGCATCCAGATTAACATAAATATCTGGAACAATGAATAAAAGAAACAGTGGTTGGAATCTATTACTGACCACCCAGTCAAGGAGAAGACAAGGATAAAACATTTGAAAATCAAATTGCCAGTTTTTAATGTCATTGTTATGGGGGACTTCAGTTCCCCCAGTATCTTTTGGGAGACAAATTCTGCCAAACATGGCCCTTCCAAGAGATTCCTAACATGTATTGGTGATAAACTTCTCCAACAGAAAGTGGAGGAAGGAACAAGGGGAACATTGACTTGAGATAAATCAGCAGGGAAGACCTAGTGGACAACATGGCAGTTGCAGGAACTCTGGGACAAAGTGAACATGCTATACTTAAATTCTTGATTCTAAAGGAAGCAGAGGCCAATTGAGGCCAAATCTGTACCCTGGACTTTAGGAAAGCCAATTTTAATTAATTCAGAAACAGCCAATTTTAATAAATTCAAAGCTACAGTAAGCCCCATGGCAAGTGTCTCTCATGAGAAAAGCAGTACAGCATGGCTTGGAATTTTAAAAAAGGAAATTCCATTCCTACAAGAAAAACAGGTAGAAAACAAGAAGAGAAGCCACGTGGCTTTACAAAAAGCTTAGAGATGATCTGAAAACAAAAAAGGACATGTATAGGAAGTAGAAGGAAGGTCAGGCTACAAAGGAGGAATACAGGCAGGCAGCATGAAATTGCAGGTAGGCATTGGCAAAGCTAAAGCTAGAAATGAACTGAGGCTAGCAAAAGATGCTAAAAGCAGCAGCAACAGCAACAAAAGCCTTCAGAAATGTTCAAAGTAAGAAGAAAGAAATTGGGGTTTAGCTACTCAATGTTAATAGCAAAATGGTAACAGATGACAAAGAAAAGGCGGAAGTGCTCAATTTGGGTCAATCTTCAATAAGACAACCTATGACCCTCCTGATGAAAGGGAAGTACACTATTATCTTTGAGAAATCATGGAGGACAGGGGAAGTGCCAGAGAAGGAGAAATGTTGTCCCCATTTCAAGAAAGGGGAGAGAGAAGAACCTGGAACTACAAACCAGTAGGTCTGACATCAATACCTGGGAAAATTCTGGAGCAGATTATAAAGCAGTTCATCTACAACCATCTTGAAAAATATGCAATGATTACTAAAGCCAACATGGATTTCCCAAGAACAAATCCTGCCAGACTAGTCTGATTTCTTTTTTTTTTTTTTTTTTTGATTGGGTAACCTCCCTGATGGACTCTGAGAATGCTGTGGACATAATCTATCTTGACTACAGCAAACCTTTGACAAAATGCCCCATGATCTCCTGAACCTAGATGTAAGTGAACTAGATGGAACAATGATTAGGGGGATCCACAGTTGGCTACAGAATCAGACTCAAACTGGGGAGAGGTAACTATTGAGGTATCACAGGATTCAGTCCTAGGCCAAGTACCCTTCAACATTTTTATTAATGATTTGGATGAGGAAGTGCAGGAAATGATTATCAAATTTGCAGATAACAGAAAACTGGGTGGGATAGGATGGGGAAAAGAAACCAAATGCATTATTACAAGATGGGAAATACTTGGCGGAACTGCAAGTGAGAAGGATCTTCGAATTGTTCTACTTCAGCAAGCTGAATATGAATCAACAATGTGATGTGGCTGCAAAAAAGGGCAGATGCTATTTTAGGGTGCATTAATAGAAGTTTCATTTCCAAATCATATGAAGTACTCATTCCTCTTTATGCAGTACTGGTTAGGCATCAGCTGGAGTTCTGTGTAACCAGCTTAAGAAAGATGCAGACAAACTGGATAAAGTTCAGAAGAGAGCAACAGTGACGACCCATGGAATGGAAACAAAGTCCTATGAAAGAACTGGGCATGTTTAGCTTTGAGAAGACTGAAAGGAGGTGTGATAGCAATCTAAGTACTTCTGAGTACAATCTAAGGCTGTCACACAGATGAAAACCAGGATCTCAATCATCCCAGAGTGCAGGACATGGAATAATGGGCTCAAGTGACAGAAAACCAGATTCTGGCTGGATACCAAAAATATATTCTTCACTGTTGGGGCAGTACAACAATGGATCCAATGACATAGGGTGGTTGTGGGCTTTCCCAAACATGGAAGCATTCAAGAGGCTGCTGGTCAGCCTTCTGAGAGGGATGGTTTAACAGGGAGTTCTGTGCTGAGCAGGGGATTGGACCCAGCGGCCTTCTGGCTCCTTCCAACTCAGCTATTCTATGATTCTGTTTCAAGTTATTTGATAACACTCCTGTAACTTCTGTTTAAAACATGTACCAATCCTGTTTTCCTTTCCAGAAGCAAACCCTTTCTTGCAGTCCGTGTATCGCTCCATGATGTCCAAGTTGCTGCAGCTTCCTGACAAACACTCTGTCACAGCTCTCCTCAATACGTGGGCCCAGAGCATCCGACAGGCCTGCTTGTCTGCTGCTTGACATCCATGTTTCTTCACTGGGCCTTAACTGGACAAGTTCTAGCCAAGCAGGGCAGGAATATGAGAAGCAGAAGCCTTAAATTGTTTTTTGTTTAATAGGTATCAAGCTTTGTTACAGATCCTGGTGTTAGGTTTAGTGCCTGTGCTTCTGCCTTTGTAGACTTGATGGAAAGGTGGATTCTCCCATTCTCAAGGCAGCAACCTTTTTAAATGTCTTCTTAGAGAAGAGTATGTGCAGACTTCTGTCATGGAGTCTCATTACTGTAAGAAAAGGGGCATTGTCCTTCAGATCTCACCCAGGCCCAGAATATATATAGATCTGTGTTTGGTTTGGGTGAATCCCACCCCCAGAAGAGGCTGCTTGCAACCCACAAAAGAGGCAGAATTGCTCAGCAGCTCAGCTACACGGGAGCTGTTTGTGCCTCCCAAAACAGGCACTGACCAGCCCCGCTGATGTGGCTGGCTCTGAGAGATGGCCAAGGATGACGTGCTGCTCTTTGTGTCTGTTTGGCTTCCCCTGCTGGCTGCGAGATTAGACTGGCCACATTGTGTGGTCCTGGATCTTGCTTTCTCCTAACTGCAGTGCTCATTTTTGATGGAATTTCAATCTTAGAATTATTAGTCTTTCCACATATGTGTGCCACCATTTTCACAGAGTCTCTGAATATTGGTTTGCACTCTTCAGCATAGCATCCTGGCTGCTGTGACATTTGTAGATCTATGTGATTACTATGTCAATTGGAAGACATTAAAAATATACTTAATAAGCACTGATTAATTGCAGTACAATGATATATTTCATACATGAATCAAGGTATTTGTTTATTGTAATAAATGTACTGTTCCAGTGTTTAACAAGGACTTGCTTTCTCATGCAAACCTACCTCTGCCAATTCTAGAACAGCCTGTGATGAGATCCTATGCTTAGGTTTGCCTTTCCTAGTCCCTTGACCTGCATGGTCTAAGTAATCATATGTGTATTTCACACCTAACTCTTTTACTGAAGAGAAGCAAACTATTATAACTGAAAATAGACCAGTTCCTAGGGATTAAGTGGTTTTCTATAATAGATAATGATGAAATTATTTTTTAAAATGTGGGAAAAAAACACCAGAAACAACATCTAGGGAAAACCCTTCCGGTGCACAGTGCTGAAAACAAGATGAGGCTGGCTTCTGAAGCCCTTCAGAATAAGGAGGCAGGGTACAGAAAGGGACCCACTGGGCCCGGTTGCTAAAGTGCAGTCCGATGGAGCCTGTTCCTCTGGATAGCCTGGGCTCTCTTCTGTCTCTCAGCAAAAGCATTTCCTAACGTTTGCTTCAGTGCTGGCAGCACAGCCCTTTCAGCAGCAGGCAGTGGTGCTAGAATCCTACTGGAGAACAAAGTGGTTCAGTCAAAGGGGAGGCTAAAATAGGTGTTTAACTAAGCTGCTCCAAGGCATTTGTGAGGCATGCTAAGGTAGGGCTATCTCAAGGGTAAGCAACCTGGTGCCCTCCATATGTATTTTGGGCTACAGCTCCAATAACCTCTAGTCATCGGCCATGCAGCCTAGGGTTGATGGTAGTTGTAGTCCCAAACACCTGGCTGGCACTGGGCTGTCTGCCCCCCAGTTAAAGGGCTGCCGTAAAAACCAGTATCTAGTTTTATTTTATTTATTTAGAACATTCCTGTGCCACCCCATTCACAAAAAGCCTCATTGGCAAGTCTTGGGTGGCAGCAGTTCAAGCAAAGAAAAACTGTATTTCACTTTAGGTGTAAAGAATTAAGCTCTCAAAGTTTCTCTGAGGAATGTAGCTGGGCCATCAATTCATGCGGCAGTTCTGTCAGTCTGATGTTGCTCCAGTTTGTTGTTTGCTCTTAATGGCAGGGAAGGAACAGACTTGTGCAGAACTGCTTCTGTTCTGGACATAGATGCTACTCCCAGGTACACGGTCTCCAAACATTCTACTTTCTAGGCATCCAGCAGAAATTTCCCTGCATATTTTCAAATTGTTTTTAGCACTATGACTAGCTCCTTCTATATCAAATGCAAAAAGAGGAGGAGGAAGCAAATTCTCTCCCCCACCTCTTCCTAAGTGGAGAAATAGGAAAACCATCATCCTGACAAAGCAGAGCTTAGTAGCCCCATCCCAAAATACTGAAGCAGAAGCCTAGATGGAAAGCCTCCAGATACTTGGGCTGTTCCAAGTGCCATAAAAAATAGAGTCAAAACTTAGTGGGAGCAGCAGTTGAAGAAAGGTAAGCAGGAGCTGAGGCAGAGCTTGCCTACAGCACTTGCACACTGTCACCTAGGTACATTCATGATGTAGGCTTACAAGATGTTCAGGAATAAATTACTTGGCTGACCTGAACTTTTGTTCAGGTATTATGTACTAGAGATTTAATTCTACAATTTAATAAGTTGTGTTGCCAGTGCCATTGGTGCACCCACAACTGGAGTACTGTATCCAGTTCTGGGCTCCACATTATAGAGCTAGGTTAAAATCAGTTCAGCACAGGGCGACAAGGATGGTAGTCTGGTTCTGAGGGAAGACGTATGAGGAGATTGGGGGAACTGGGTCTTTTCAGCCTGGAGAAGAGAAACTCCGAGGAGATCATCTACTATTAGAAACAGTTAAGTCAGAAGGGGACTTCTGGGACATCTAGTCTGATCCCCAGCTCCAGCTGGCTCTGCTCATGACATGCCTACCATGTGCATGTCCAGCCTATCCTTGAACACCCTCACCAATGGGGCTTCAACCACCTCCCGTGGAAACCCATTCCATAAGCCCAGGGGTCCTAACCATCAAGAAGTACTTCCTGGCAGTCAAACTGAACCTTGGTTCCCTGAGCTTGGCTTCACTGGGAGACGTCCTTCCCTCCTCCATAGGGGAAAACAGGTCTTGACCCACCTCTGTGTGACACCCCCTCACATACCTATGTGTCGCCAACACATCCCCTTGGAGTCCTCTCTTCTCCATGCCGAAAAGACCCAGTTCCCTCAGTCGCACCTCAAATGGCTTCCCCTGCAATCCAGCCACCATCCTTCTGTCCCTACACTGCACCTATTCCAACCTAGCTAGATTCTTCCTATATTGTGGATCCCAGAACTGAACACAGTACTCCAGTTGCGGGAACACCAGAATCATAGAGTGGCAGTAATACCTCTCTTGATCCAGAAGCCACACTTCTGTCTATGCATCCTAGGGTGGAGTTTGCCCTCTTGACTGCTGCATCACACTGCTAACTCATGTTTAGCCTGCGGTCAACCAGCACCCCAAGGTCCCTTTCGCAAGTGCTGCTCTCCTGCCATTTGTCCCCTAACCTGTACTTGGGACACCCATTCCTATGCCCCAAGTGCAAGACCGAGCACTTATCCACATTGAACACAATCCTGTTGTCCCCTGCCCACTTCCATAGTACTCGTTCTGGATCTGGAGTACTCATTTATTTAAAACCTTTCTAGACCATCTAATTACCAAAGTCTCAGGACAGTTTAACAATACAAAATGTAAAACAAAACACATCCTAAAAATTCAACTAACAATAAAACTCCAAATAAAACAGGTTTTAAAACATTGGGAAAATGAAAAGGTTTTGGCCTGGCACTAAAAAGAATAAAGTTATGGTGCCAGGTGAACCTCTCTGGGGTGGGAAATTCACAACTGGGACCCCTCTGCAGGGAGGTCCTTTTCCGGGTAGTCGCCCACCTAATCTCCTTCAGGGAGGGCACCTGGACAAGTGTGTCTGCCCCAGATCTTAAGGAGCGGCGAGGCACATATGGAAAGATGCTCCTTCAGGTAACCAGGCCCCAAGTTCTTTAGGGCTTTACAGGTCATCACCAGCACCTTAAATTGGGCCCAGACTTCAACTGGTTGCCTGTGTAGATGGAAAAGGACTGGTGTTATTCATACCTGCTGGTCCCTGTTTAACAACCTGGGGGCTCTATTTTAGACCAGTTGAAGCATCTGAATCATCTTCAAGGGCTGCCCCACATAGAGCATGTTACAGTAGTCCAAGCAGGAATTTACCAGGGCATGGGTCACCACTGCCAGGCACTGCCCATCCAGATAGGGGCGCAGTTGATAGATCAGCTGAAGCCGAAGGAAAGCATTCCTCGCCACAGCCGCCACCTGTGATTCCAGGGACAGCTGAGGAGCACTTCCAAACTGCGCACCCTGTCCTTTAGGGGAAGTACAACCCCACCAGAAGAGGGTTAGAAACACCTACCCGGGAGGCTAAACGACCTACCAGCAGGACCTCTAGCTTGTCTGGATTAAGCTTCAATTTATTGGCCCTTATCCACCCTATCACCCTGGTGAGACACCAGTTCAGGACCTCCACTGCTTCATCTGGATTCAATGTAAAAGAGAAAGCTGGGTGTCATCAGTGGACTGATGACCCCACAGCCCAAACCTCCAGATGACTTCTCCCAGTGGTTTCATGTTAAATAGCATGGGGGATAAAATGGAACACTGCAGAACTCCATGGCAGAGCTGCCACATGGCTCAGAGCCACAATCCCCCGCCACCACCTTCTGGAATCGGTCAGCCAAGTAGGAGTAGAACCACCACAGAGCAGTGCCTCCAAACCACAACTCAGCCAGCCTATCCAGAAGGATACCATGGTCGATGGTATCAAAAGCCACTGAGAGGTCCAGGAGAACCAACAGGGACGCACTCCCCTGCCCCTCTCCCTGCACAGGTCATCATACAGGGCGGCCAAGGCAGTTTCTGCCCCATAACAAGGCCTAAAGCCAGACTGAAACGGGTCCAGATGGTCAGTTTCAGCCAAGAGAACCTGGAGTTGCCCGGCCACCACCCGCTTGAGCACCTTGCCCAAGAATGGGATGTTAGCCACCAATGTATAATTAGAGGCCAACTCTGAGTCCATGTTCGCCTTCTTCAGGATGGGCCTGATCATTGCCTCCTTCACGGGGGCGGGAACCTGACCCTCCCTCAGGGAGGCATTAACTACCTCCTGGACCCAGGTGTACATCCCGTCCCTGGCTTTGGTGAGCAGCCAAGAAAGGCAAGGGTTGAGTAAACAAGTGGTAGGCCGGACAAGTCCAAGCACCTTGTCTACCTCAGGCCACAGCAATTGAAACTCATCCAACAAAGATGGACCAGACGGCACTTTGGACACATCCCGTACTGGCACTGCATCAACTGTGGAGTCCAGCTCGTGATGCATCTAATTTTATCCCTAAAGTGCTGGGCAAAATCATCCCAGCAAGCCACCAATGGTGTGATGAAATCCCTTTTTGGTCCAGAATGTAACAGACACCACACCACCCAGAAAAGCTCAGCTGGATGGCACTGTGAGGATGCAATGGAAGCAGAGAAGAATTCCTTCTTTACTGCCCTCACCACCACAGCACAGGCCCGATAATGGGCTCTCAGTTGTGTTGTCAGATTCAGCACAGGATTTCCTTCACCTACGCTGTAGACCTCCCCCAGCCTGCTTCATTGCCCACAACTAAGGTGTATACCAAAGTGCCACGCGGGCTCTGCTTGGCAGGAAAGGACACTTAAGAGTGATCATGTCTATCACCCGGGTCAATTCTTCATTCCACAGATCAACCAGGCTTCAACAGAAGCGTCAGTTTTCCCAATCAGAAATTCCCCCAGAGACCTCAGGAATCCATCTGGATCCATTAGACTCTGGGGGTCACCCCCTCTGCCAGATGAAAACATCTGTTTTTGAGGAAGTGGTGTTGCAGGGCTGCCAACCACCCTTCCCTATCTAGTGTTTCTAGATGTCTCACTATTATGAGCCTTTCCATTGTCTTTTTTAGAATGAACATAAGGCTAACCGGTCTGTAATTCCCCATGTCCCCTCTACTACCCTTTTTGAAAATTGGGACCACTGACGCCACCCTCCAGTCCTCTGGAACTTCACCCATTTTCCACAAGGCCATAAAAATGGAGGCCAGCAGATCTGAGAGTACCCCCACCAACCTCCAAAGTACCCTTGGGTGTAACCTGATAGGGCCCAGTGCAACTGTAACATCCAGTGTGCTCAGGAGCTCCTCAACTTCTGGGGAGGGGATTAACTAAGCTGTGCCCTTAAATCCCCCATCTCATCTGGTCCCCCATATAGATCTCCCCCGTCCTGCTTTGGAGAGAACAGAGGAAAAATAATCATTTAGCAGCGGTGCCTGTTCCCCCACATCAGTCATCAAATCCCCTTCTTCCTTCATTAGGCAGCCCCACCACCTGTCTCACCTTCCTCTTGCTTTTACATGTTGATAGAAGTCCTTTTTGTTGCTCCTGCTAGTCTTTGCAAATCTCAGCTCATAATCAGCCTTAGCCTTGTGAAAAATCCTTCTGCAACAGGCCTCCTCCTCCTGGTATATCCTTTTTGTCTATTTGCCCCAGTACCCATTTCCTACGGAGGTTCCTCTTATGCCTAATGCCTCTTACCATTTCTCTTCTCATCCACAGCAGTGATTTCCTTCACCTCCCCATCTTGCTATCTAGTGGTATCATCAAGGCTTGCACCTCTAAGACCTTCCTTTTTAGCACCATCCTCCCCTCCAGAACTCCCTTGTGTTCCAGCACCCTCTCCCAGGAGACTTTCCCCAGTCTGGGCTTCAGTTGACCAAAGCTGGCCCTCATGAAGTCCCAGCTTCTAATACTTGACCTGCCACTGCTCCCCAGTCCCCTGAGCTCAAAGCAAAGGATAGAGTGATCACTCGCATCCAGAGCTCCCCTAATCTGTACTTCATCTATCAGCTCCTCCCTGGGGTCAAGACCAAGTCAAGGATATTCCCCCCCCTCATCGCCTCCCGGACCCTCTGCGTGAAAAGCCCTCCCTCTATAGTGACTAGGAAGCAACATGACCAGGCTGTTGCTGCTGATTGAGACTGCCAACTAATTATCTGGGAGGCTGAAATCTCCCATAATTACCGTGTCCTTCCCCTGAGATAACCTTCAAATCATCATAGAAATATAGAAACAGAGGTGGTTGAGGCCCCATCAGTGAGGGTGATCAAGTCGTGAGCAGAGCCAGCTGGAGCCGGGGGTCAGACTAGATGGCATCATGGCCATCCTCGTGGCCCTACGCTGCACTGACTCTAACCTGGCTATATCCTTCCTGTACTGAGGGGCCCAGAACTGAACACAATACTGCAGTTGTGGGCGCACCAGAGTTGTGTAGAGTGGTAGTAATACCTCTCTCGATCTAGAGGCCACACTTCTGGTTATGCAACCAAGGGTGGTGTTTGCCCTCTTGACCACCGCAAGTTTCTGGAGGGCCTGAACCCATGCCTCCGGTTCACTTTAAAGCCTTCTGGATGAAGCTCACTGGCCATTTTCGAAGGCGCTTTTCCCTATCCCCGTAAGGTGCACCCTGTCCCTCGCCAGAAATCCATTGACAAGAAACTGGATGCTGTGGTTAAGGAACCCAAAGTGTTCCTTCTGACACCACTCCCTGAGGCAGTTATTCACCTTGGCAACCCTCCTTTCCCTGGCTGGCTCAAATCTCCGGACTGGCAAGATGGGGGAAAAGGTCACCTGGGCCTTTAGGTCCCTCAGTTTCCTTCTCAGATGTTCAAAGTTTCTAGTGATCCTGTCCACCCCCTCCCTGGCCATGTCATTCGTCCCCATGTGGATCACCAGAAGCAGCTGGTGCCCCCCCCTCCCCCAGGGAAGAAGATGCTCTACTCTGTCTGTCACATGCTGGATGCGTGCCCCTAGCAGGCAACAGACCTCTGCTACCTCAAGGTCAGGGCGGCACACCGCCGCCTCAGTGCTCCTCAGCAGGGAGTCCCCAACAACAGCTGCCCTCTTTTCCCGGTGGTGGCAGACAGCCATGCTTTGGCCCTGGCCTCTCCTGCAGCTGTCCCCTGGCTGCATCCGGGGACACCTGTCCCCCACCTTGCCTGCCCTACACTAACCTTCCCTGACTTTACTTGCCCAGTTCTCCCAGACAGAGTAATAATTAGAAACAATTAGTTAAAAACAAACAAAAAAACAAGCAATAAAAACAATGACCTGATGAAGAGTGTTCCCAGACAGCCCAGGCTGTAGCTAAGGGACGCAGACAAGGGACAATGCCCTTGTTGTGTCGCTCTTAATGTGACACCATTGGCACTGTGTCCATTGGCACGGCTTTATAAACCTCAGAGGCTGCTGGCCCTGTCCCTCTGCTTCCTACTGGGCCTCTCTGGCCTGTCGGGTAACCACCTCCCTTCCTCTCCACTGCTCCCCACCCCCCATCCTCTGTCCAAACTTTTGCCTTGTCTACACCAGTTCCCTGGCCCCATTCTGCACTCTCTCCCAGCCTCTGCTGCTCTGACAAAAGCCCCTTTTATAGCTATGTGAAGGAATGCCAGGTGGAGGAGGGCCATGATCTGTTCTTCCCTGCGGTGGAGGACAGGACATATTCCAGTGGGGCAAAGCTCAAGGATCCAGGCATCAGGTTGGATGTCAGCAAGTGCTTTGTGACGGTTAGGACCTCTACGATATGGAATGGGCTTCCACAGGAGGTGGTTGAGGCCCCATCAGTGAGGGTGTTCAAGAACACCCACATGTTGGAGGTTACATGTGTGGAGCTGGCTGGAGCTGGGAGTCAGACTAGATGGCCCAGGAGGCCCCTTCTGACTTGTTTCTGTGTTTAATTTGGGAAGGCAGATGCGGGGAGCTATGCAAAGCTAAGAAATCTGTTTACCATTTCTTAGGAACATTCTTTACTCTTGGTAACCGGATCGTCTCCTGGCTCCTAAAACATAAAAGATATTAATTAGCATAGATAACCTCACAAAAGGGAACAGACATGGAAACTCTGCTGGAGAGCAGTGGGACCTTGGCAGATGGACTCTCAAAATTTCTTCTCCATCTTGCTTTATGCACCATTGTATAAAGCCTTCCCTAGTTAGAAGGGAAGGCTTGCAGAAGATGTAGGACAGCCCTGGCAATGATGTAGAACCTTGAGTACCAATCAGAATTAGCAGCGAAATTAGAGAAGGAAAAAATCCTTTTTTTTTTTTTTGTTAGAGGCTCAGAATTCAGAGGACTGGGACGTTGTTGCCTTTGATCTTTTGGCCATTGACCTTGGAATACTACTAATCACACATTTCACAACCAAAGCAATGACTTACTTTTGTGAATGTTGTCCTGTTTTGTATTATTTAATCACACTATCAGCTCTGAAATCTTACTGACAGAATTCTCATGCCTGCTGTCCCCACTTCCAGATATGATATAATTGAGACACAGAAAAAGAGGAACACATGCCATCACTTAATCCCAGACTGTGAGTGAAATGTACCCCCCCCCCCCAACTTGTTCCCAATACCTGAGATGGCAATTCACTGAGAAGTCACATTCTTGCTGCCCTCCATGTAAAGGCAGGCTATCCCTGGCATCTCTCCCTTTCATGGGCTGGTACAGTATGCAAAAGCCTCACTATTGAGGACAAACATGAACTGATATTCATGGAAAGAACAAAATAACACCCCACAAAATGAAAAGGCTAATTCTGTTGCAAGGAAGGAACCAAAAACCAGTACTTGAAGGAATCGGCAGAGATGGAGCTTTTAGTTGAAAGAAAATTAAGTTAGACAGTTCCTTTCAGCTGTTGTCAGTTTCCATGATTGCAAACCTTCCTTACAGCAACCGAAAGGGTTTCAGAGAAACACTGGAAATTTAGAGAACAAAGTTGAGGCCCAATCTAGAATTTGTGAGCTCCCAGCTCACATTTTCTCTTGCTAATGCAAGTGGACTTACAAATGAAAAGAAAAGCTGTATGGTAACCAGACTTTAGCCACAAGTGCAAATGACAGGTAAGTGTCCCCTCAAAGGATACCATGTAGTCAGCGTGTGTGAACTGCACTGCCCCCAGAATAAGAGCTTTCTTCAGGCATCTTCTAATACACAGTCCCCCTCCTTCAGTTACAAACTCAGCTTACCCAAGCTGGCCAGCTAGCAGGTAATCTTCAGGAATTCTTTTTGTCTTGTGGATGTCTTCTAAACATGATCTCAGATACATCAGCTGAAGGAGAGAGAACGGGGGATGGAGGTGACTTTCCTGCCCTCCTAGGTATTCATTCCATCACTCCCAAGTCCAAGGTGAGGCTGCTCACCTCTTGCATTTGCATATGGTTGATATTCCACAACTGACGAATGACCACCTCGCATTCCTCCAGCGTTGGTGGTTTCCGCATGTAAGACGGGAGAACATTTACTAAGAAAGGATTGGAAGAGGCAGCAGGAATTGTCACATTCCCAGGTCTGCTTGGAGGGTTTGGAGATGTCATTCTGTCACAGACTTGTATACCTCTGTAAGAGAGATGAAAAATCAACAAGGGACAGTCATTGCAGTAAATCTGAAGTGTGCTTCCAAAGATTTTTACCAATCATTTGGAAACAGCATTTTAAATAGACAAGGAAGAGAACTAGAACTAGCAGATTTCCCTTGTCTCACCCCCCCACACAAAAAACCCACCCCATTACCTGCACAACCCATACTGAAAGCAGAATAGATGGAATGTATTTACTACAATGACATAATCAGAACTTCTTTGCATAAGCAACTGCAGCTAAGAGCCCAACAATTCTAGCAAAAATGCTTTGTTTCTGTACAATAATGGGAGACAATTTTCTTTCCCCACTGGATCCAGCAGAGGTGATTTGATCAGAGTGCAAACAGCACTTCTTGAGCCCCACCAATCTTAATGGAGTCTGCTAGTTTGGTGCAGGCCCTGTAACCAGTTGTTTTTGTTGAGGGCTGCTAAAACAAGTGTGTGGGTGGTGTTCCATGACACAAGCTGACTCCCAGAAAAATTAGTGAATGAAAAAAATTGTCCTAACCTGCAAAGAGCTTCTTGTCCATTTCATTCCTTTCTGGAATGTGTTAGGAAGAAGGAAGCCCATAAACTCCTGAGAAAAACAGGCTTTAAACAACTGGAGAAAAATTATTGAAACTGTATGGAAGCAGAAACAAAAACTTCCTGCAACTTCAAGTTGCTACGTGATAAGGCACAATTTTAATCTTAAAAAAGCAAAGTGGCTGCTTCCCACAGGTCACCATTGCTATGAAGGGTCTTCTCAGACCTGGTGTGGGGAGAAGGAGGCACTTTTGTTGGCATCCCCTCAGACTCTGGATGGAGGGCCTCCGATTCCTTCTGTGTTGTACTGTCAGTCTCCCCTTCTATGCTCTCTTCTGTGCTTTCCTCTTCCTTAGCATTTACTTGTTTCTTTTCCAGCTCCACAGTACCTAAAGTATCTTTGGAAGAAAAACGACTTGTTAACAATCTAAAGACACCACACAGTCTACACAGCCCTGACAATGGGAGCTGTCAGTACCACTTTTATTGTGTTATTTAGTAATTCAGTGTATGCTCAAGGGGGTAAGCAGTAATAAAATATAAAACTATTACATTAAGTTGAACACATGGTTCATTAAAAATACTCCAATTAAAAAAGAAACAGAAAGCAAGTCCATTTAACAGTTTTTTTTAGAAAAATCTAAATGAAAATGTCTAGTAGCGGAAGGACAAACAGAGATGGAGCCAATGTGGCTTTCCATTTCTAGAACCACCAAAGAGGCTCTTTTGTGTATCCTGCCAATGGGTCTGTGATAACTGGAAGCACCAATAAAAGGTCTTTGAAAACTCAAGCAGGCCTTCTGATAGCCTGATCCCAAGTGGCATAGTACTTCATAGATCATAACCAATGAACTGTGCCTGGACCAGCAACCAATGGGCTTGCAATAACAAGGGGTAAGGTACTCGCTGAATATGGAAACAACCCACAGTGTGGGTGTAGCTTGCTGAATGCTGATGCTGCCAAAGACTTTTCAGAGGCAGACTTGTATGGAGCATGGTCCCAAATGGAGCAGTCCAAAAGGGATGTGCCTTATGACAGGTGTCACTGAGATCCAACATCTCCAGGAACAGGCACAGCACAGTAGCCTTGACTGTGCAAATGTAATCCAGGCCACCACCAAAACTTGGGCATCCGCATTCCAGGCTGAATTCAGTGATGAACACAGACTGTAAGCCTGAGACTTCAAGAAGAGTGTACAACTGAATGACAATTGGACTCTGATTTGCCTCTCAACTGACCAGGGGCACCTCTGCCTTCTCTAGATTTCATTCATTCATTCATTCATTCATTCATTCATTTCCTGCCTTTTTCCTACAAAGGGCTCAAGGCAGCTTACATCATTCTCCTCCTCCATCTTATCCCCACAACAACCACCCTGTGAGGTAGGTTGGGCTGAGAGTCTGTGACTGGCCCAAAGTCACCCAGTGGGCTCCACGGCTGAGCGGGGACTAGCACCCAGATCGTCTGAGTCCCAGTCCTGTGCTCTTAACCACTACACCACACTGGCTCTCTTCAACTTGTTTAAGAAGATTAAGCTTCAACTTGTTTGGCTTCATCCAGGTCACAGACTCTGGCCACAGACAACAGCCCAGCTTGGCTTAGTTTACTTGTGGGAGCTGCTGTATTATGTCTGACATCCATTGAACCCATTGTGCCATATGCAATCAGGCCACAAAAGCTGTTTGCAGGTCAGGCTATGGCCTATGGTTTGTTTTAGGTTAAGAGTTATTAGCCTCAAGCAACCCCACAGCCTGGGTTCACTTGACACAGCCAAAGCGAACCCACAGGTACCATGCAGAACTGGCACCTCGCACTGCCTGGAGCAAAGCAATAGCCTCCTTGGTAAACCAAGCCACAGTCAGCTCTCGTTATGTATGGATGGGTCCTCTGATTTAGAACTTCAACAGCTTATTTGGATTTAGACAGAAAAAAGGAAGTGTTATTCACACCGTGGCACTACCAAACCATGAAAAAACCTTATCCAAAGTTTTCATATATAGGCTAAATAGAACAGGGGCAAGATGGAATCCTGAGAGATACAAGAGCCCAAAGGCCATGGCATCAAACCCCAATTCACCCAGCACCATCTTCTGAAATCACTTCTCCAAAAGTACCCCATCCAGGCAGGAATATACCACAGAAGATGCTACAAAAAGCCAATTGTGCGGCAGAACCTACTGCTGCATGGCCCCTGTCCAGGATCATCCACTAAAATGATCAAAGTAGTTTCTGTGCCATAAGTACACATCAAAGCCAGATTGAAATGGAGCTAGATCATTTGCCTCATCCAGAAATCCACGGAGCAGAGAGACTAACTCATAGTGCAGAACCTTGCCCAAGAATGGAATTCTGGAGAATGACCAGAATTCTATGTTAGGGTTCAAAGAGGCTTTTTTTTTTTTTTTTTTTGGAAACAGTCCTTGCCACAGCCCTATTCAGACAAGATGGAATCACTCTTCACTGCCTGGCCCATTTTATATGCCTGGAAAGGAAAGGCACATGCATGCTAAGTATCCCTACTCCAAGGATACCATGGCTGATGATCTGGAACACCTCCTCAAACTGAAAAGCACCCATAGCAATAAGACACAAAGAATCCAAATTTATATTAACTGAAACTACAGTAACTATTGGCATCCAAACCAGTACACTTAGGAGTTATTTTATCTTTGAAATGTCATGAAGTTGGTCATAAGGTTTAAATGAGCATGTGTGTACCTTCTTCACTTTGTTCTCCTATGTTCAAGTTGTAAGCTGTCCTCCTCTTTGAGCTACTCCTTGGGCGTGACTTAACACATGTGCTGGAGAAAAAGTCTGCAAAAACAGCCAGAATGCAAGGTACTGAGCATGAGGCAACAGAGAAGCCAAACTTCTGTCTGACCTTAGTACCAGCTCTCCCTCACTCAAGGTTGCTGAAACAGAACTTTGACAAAAAGGCTGAACAGGGCATTAACCCTATTGCATTAAAAATGCTGGCTGTGCTTCTCTAGTAAAAACAACATGAAATGGCATAAATGGCCCTGTTTCTATGTTTCCACTCAGTTTCTATGCTTCTTTTGCACATGGTAGGCATGTCATGAGTGGAGCTGACTGGAGCAGAGGGTCAGACTAGATGGCCCAGGAGGTCCCTTCTGACTCACTCTGTTTCTATGTTTCTACGTGATTGTTCAAATGACTGCTTGATTAGTCATTTATACTCCAGAGCTTGAAGTTCTAGGCAAACAGAATTCCCACCAGCTGTGAAATTCCTGCTAAATCAGGGGTCTCAAACTTGCGGCCTGCGGGCCAATTGTGGCCCGTGGGACGATATTTTGTGGCCCCCCACTTGATATCAAAGTTTAGCGATAGTGCAGCCCACGCGTTTTTCTCACACGCACCTGCGTGAGTCGTTACCCTGGGCGCAATGTTCCCTCTAAGCTGCGCGCCGGGACGGGCGGACCATGGGGGAGGGGCCCTGCGGCCTGCAAGCGCCAGTGGCGCCCGGGCCAGCTTCTGGGAGCGACGTGGGATGAGCGGCCCACCACCACCACTGCTGCCCAAGGCCGACCACCGCGGTGGTGGTGGGCCGCTCATCCCGCGTGCCCTTTCCCTTCCCTGAACTTTCCAGGATGTTCAAGCAGACCATGTGCCTTTTCGGGAGCACCTATCTGTGTGAAAAGCTCTTCTTCACCATGAACTTTAATAAGTCAAAGTTCAGGTCCAAACTTACTGATGAGCATCTTCAAGCCATACTGAGGGTCTCAGTTGCTTCCTCCCTCAAGTCAAATGTGGCTCAGCTGTGTAAGAGGAAGCGCTGTCAGGTCTCTGGCAGCAAGGAGTAGGAGGAAGTAAGAGAAGCCTATGTTCTGAAGAACCGTTCATGTTCTGAATTATTATTAGTAAAGATTGAGAAGACTGGATCAGTTGTACTTTTTTTTAGAATACTTGAAATCCTTTTTTTGCGGAATACTTGATGCGGCCCAGCCTCACCCAGACTCTACTTCCAGCGGCCCCCAGGTAAGTTGAGTTTGAGACCCCTGTGCTAAATCCTGCTGGTAGCCCAAGGGTCCTCCTGTCCCAGTACTTTCCTGGACTTGGAAAGTTCTGGTCCTTCCACATCAAGACTTCAAAGTCAGGGCCTTCTTTCCTGCATGAAATCCTCACTCAGCCTGTAATGCTCAATTTCACAAAGAAAGTGGCACTCTCCAGAATCGGCTCATAGAAACTGACTGTTTCAGAAGAGACAGGAAAATGGGTAGGTCTGCAAGTGGGAGAGGAGGGTTGTACCTGTCTTCCAGAGTATCGGATGCATTATGAGCTTATAATGAAGATCTGCAATCAAATGAAAATATGTCACTACAGCAAGCCCTTTTCCCATCCCTTCTCCCCAACAGGCCAAGAGACGCTTTAACTTGTTGCAACTGGCATATTGGGAAAATGGTGAACTTCCTAGTAAGGTTTTGGCACATCATTAGAAAGACTGTACTTTATTTTAGCTAGGGATATATATATACTTTTTCTTCAGATATAAAGTCACTATTTTTAATGGGTTATTCTAATTTTTATAGTACAGATGGCAAAACATCTGAGCAGGACTGGTAAGCTTTTCTCCTTAAGTTAGTCTTCCAATTTCTCCTGGGACCTTTGTGTATGGAGAAAATTATGAAAGCAATTAATATTAATAAAATAATAACATCAATTATAAAAACAATTTGCTAGCATGAATACTAAGAAATCACTGGGTCCAAATAGGTTTCCAGTTACGTGGTATAAAACTTCTTCCAGCCTTTTCATTCCAAAACTTTATAGTCTTTATAATCATATTTTGAATCAGGTTCCATAACTTCATTGTTAAATGATGCTTACATTAGAGTGATTGTCAAACCTGGTAAGAGTCATATATTTATTGGGCTATAACTATTAACATAATTTAATACTAAATATCAACTGCTTTTTGCCCAAAACATTGCAACAAATTGCAACTTTGCTTTGACCAGACCCTGTGAAATTTAATAGTCGGAGAGCCTTTTTGATTAATGGGAAGGATATAAATCTAGTAAGTAAGTAAACAGTCTAAGATTTAGAGGGCTTAAGCTGGGGGAGGGGGGGTGTTGCTTTGTGACATGTCTAGGTATCTATTCCAACTTTGTTGCAGTTGAAAAATATTCAAGTATCACTATATGACATAAGTGTAACAGCTAATTGGCAATTTTAATGGTTTCCAGATTGCACCATTTATTTGTAAAAACTTAGGCCAAGTGGTACATGTTAGAGAATTAAACCAAGTTCCAATTTGTTGACTGATGGGATCTCACATGACAGAGAGAGATGGGAATTGTTAAAGCTGAGTCAGTAGAGTAAGAGTAATATACTTAACATGGATATTATTATTTGGTTTGTCTGTTATAAATGGTATTCCCCAACCCCCCTTTTTTGGTAAATTATGTGGGGATTCTTTCCTACCATGAATATCCTTGAAAAGGATGTGACTTTCCATTGAAGAAGGTGGGTTTTGGCTTTCCAGGTCATCGTCAATCTATCAATCCAGCCTATTAGTTGTCTTGTGCTGAAGTTGATCTTTACCACTTAGATTAGATGTTTTGTCTTGATCAATTCTGGAGTTTTCCTTCCAAAGTGGATTTCAGAATATTAAAATAGAAAGGGTGCCTCCCACAGTTCTGGCTGCTAGAGAGGTGTGGTGGATAATTTTGTTTCAATTACATTTTAACCCATTTTTGCATGCTACATTGACTTTACAGCAAAATCAAAACTTAAAAATTGAGGCGATTATGTGGGTGTTCTTGAACATAAGAATGTAAAAGCCATGCTGGATCACAACGAAGGTCCTGCACTCTGTGCACACAAGATCCCTCAGGATCCCGCTTCCAGCCCAGTTCCTCAGCAACTGGACTGCGTAGGCCTGGTGAAGGGGGTACATAGCCAGCAAGGATAGTAGCTCCCCCCACTCCAATCTGTCCAATCTCTTTTTAAAGCCAGCCAGGATGGCAGTCTTCACCACTTCCCATGATAGGGAAGTTGATGTTTATTTTGGATCAAATGGGGACTGATGATGAGTTTCTGCCATTTTCAGATCTTCACGGCAAATTGCCCTGCTGAATAATACTTGAGATTAATTGCAACATGTGTTAGATTTGGTCCTACTGTTTTTACAGCTGCGCAGTCTCCTCTGTTATGGGGAAGACTCCCAATCATCCACCCAATTCCATGTTTATTATTTTTATTTTCAAACATTAACACGCGGTCTTAAGCAGCTAGAGAACAGGGGAGTTCATTATCCCAGTCTGTGTATGCGATGGATTGCAGCTTGAGGCCACAATCCCATCAGCTTCAAAACAGATCAACCAAAGCCCCTGGGCTTGGAGGGGTTGTACGCTTCGCTGCAGCCGCGCGTTCACTGAGCAGAGGGCCATTCCCCGCCACCGCCGTGCAGCACCAGGCCGCGCGCCAAGCGGGGCCCCCCAGCACAGCGAGGCCAGAGGTCTTCGCAGAGAGGCGGCCGCTGCTGCTCCTCCACGCCGGGGCAGGCTCCGAGCAGCCCGCGGGTGCCGGGGCCACGCGGGAAGGGCGCTGGCCCGCTCGCTGCTGCCCCGATCTGCGCGCGGGTCACCGGCGCTCGGGCCGCCCAGGAAGCTTCTCGCGCACCTTTCCGGAGGGGCCGCCCGCCCGGCCGCCCGCGGAGTGCCCTCGCCGGCGCCTCCGTCCTGGGTGCCTCGCCGGGAGAGGGAGGTCGCGACACGGGGCGACGCGGTTTCCCAACACCGTGGGCAGAAGGGCCCGCTCTGTTCAATTCTCTGCCCCGTCCAGGAAGGAGCGCGTCCCGACGCGGAAGGGCGGCCCAGCCGGAGAGGCCCGGGCCTTCCCCGCCAGCCCACCGCGCGCGCGCGCGCGCGCGGCGCTCACCCCTGTTCTGCCGTTTGAGCCGGTCGACCTCGTCGTGCAGCTGCTGCAGAGTCTCGGCGTGCTGCCGGCGCAGGAACTCGAGGCTGCGCTCCAGGTCAGCGGCCACTCGTCGCCACGCCTCCGCGCCCGGTCGCCAAGGCGGCGGCGGCGGCGAGAGCGCGGGCGGGCCGGGGCCGGGGCCGGGGCCGGGGCCGGCCGCATCTCGCGACAGGCTGCCGAGCGCAGGGAGGCCCGAGGGGCTCTGCATGGCGTAAGCCGGCTGGGCCGCCGCGCCGCCGCCGCCGCCTCCCCGGCGCGCCGCGCTCGTCGCCATGGG